ACGAGGTAACTCATGACAAAGACCAGACTTTATGTCTCAGTTATTATACTGAGGAAGCAGAACTGTGAGTGTTTATGTCAATATTATTTTGCCACCATTTTTCAAGCAAGACCCTTCACTATTATAAATAACACTAATTTGTCTGACCACTTTAAAAGTTAAAGTTAAGACCTACAATATTTTTTTATGATAAACATTTACCCCGCTCACCTAGATATTAAGGTTTAAATCCTAAAATATTAAATACAATACAAATTGACCTAAATAATTTTAAATTAAAGTTAAAACCCTACAATATTATATTACAGTATTATACAATAATATAACACAAAGTACCTGACTGCAAATTTACCTAAACTGAATAGTAAACTAAGTCCCTACACTTCAGGGTATCTTTTGGTGCTATAAAGGTGTTAAGGTTGATTTTTGAACTTCTGAAATCTAACTAACATCTTTGACTTTGCTGTTGCCACCAGGTGTTTGCTGACCTCTTTGACCCCGTCATCAAGGACAGGCACAACGGCTACGACCCCAAAACCATGACACATCCCACTGACCTGGACGCCTCCAAGGTTGTACCATGACTCCCCATTTCTGTCCATCCAACTCCTGTTCCTACACATGCAAAATCATTTTATTTCTCGCCTTTATCCTCGCTCTCCAGCTCACCAACGGCATGTTTGATGAGAATTACGTTCTGTCATCCCGTGTCCGGACCGGGCGTAGCATCCGCGGGCTGAGCCTCCCCCCGGCCTGCTCGAGGGCCGAGCGCCGTGAGGTGGAGCGGGTGGCTGTGACGGCCCTGGCCGGCCTGAAGGGAGACCTGGCTGGACGCTACTACAGCCTGGGAGACATGACGGAGAAGGAGCAGCAGCAGCTCATTGATGTGAGTTACAGACAACTGCAAATACAATTTTAGTCACTTTTAGGTTTTAATCTGCTTTATACATGGGATTTTTTTTTTCTTATCAGTAACCTTTGGTGTGGATGATAACTTTCGAAGGATTCATTTTTCTAGCTTTAAAGGCGCTGACAGTCTATATTCTCAATCAGCCTCTTATTGCCAGTGCGACTACGATTCCCAAGTATTCCTTATGTTAACAAGAAATATGCTAAGTGATGAAAGTATTTTTTGTGCAATTTTTAGAGCTGAGAAGTGCTTGAATCAAAATTAAGGGAATTAAAGGTATTAATATATGATTTTTTTTTTCATTTAAATAGGATTCTATTGGAAAAGTCTGTTAATTCACAAGCTCTGAACCACCATTTTCATATATATAGAGAACATTAACTGCAGGAACACTGAAGATCAAGGCCTCCTATCCAAACTGTTTAACAATTCTATAAGTTAAAAACTTTATGCTGTTTAAGGGTGAATATTAGTCATTGTCACAAGCTTTGTCTGAACCTAAAAAGTATTAACATCAATATACACAAAAAGCATCCACTAGCAAAACATGTCTTTATTTGAACATCAAAACAGTTAAATATAAGATATAAAGGTAGTTACCACGACTCTGCTCGGCTAGGCTAGTTAGCTTTTAGGAGCAATTATTTTCTTGTTACACTGTTTTCTCCATTATAATTACATTTAGCTGTAATTCACTGTTGTTACACTGCATGTTATATAAAAAGCATTAAAATAAATTGTTTTAAATAGAAAATGCAAATTTCATGAAAACCATAGGTTAATTTGCTAAAGCTAACCGAAATAATTTAATTTAGCTATATTAGCTAGCTTTAGCCAGCAAGAGCACTGTTGCTGCAGTTTCTGTTTAAATGTGGTCTTACTTAATTATTAATTTTCACAAGAAGCTCATATATTTGTGGCATAATAATGTCTAAATGTTAAGATAATATGTCAAAGAGTGAGATTCAGGTCTTGACTGAATTTTAATCAAATATGTAGCTATGTTTTGGTTTTGTTGCATCGTACTGTTAATAATCTGTTTCATCAGGTTGTGATTTGTTGTGTCACTGGTTTGTGTTATTTTCTCACCTGAAAGGTGGATTTCTAACTATTGTCACGAAACATTGGAAAGCACTTTGAGTACCACTAAGGTAGAAAAGCACTATGTAAGTGCAGACCATTCACAAGCACAGAATACTTTCCTGTTTGATTAATAAGTGAAAAGTTAATTAAAATTTGATGAAAGGTCATTTGAATTTAATAAAAGCATTTAAATACACAATTTAAAGGTAGATAAAGAAAGTTGAATTTCTTTTCTCTTCTCTTCTATTTCACAAGAACTGAAAAAAATCTTGAATTAACATGCACAGCCTTTTCCCAAGAGCCCACAGGTGTAACCAACACTGGAAAAGCTGGTTTTGGGTTTCAGAGAGTGAACCTGTTGGACAACACTGTGCAGAAACTAAAATTAGACAGACTACATGCACATAGTCTGCTTGTTGCATATAGATGAGTCCCAGTCAGTTACTGATGTTTTTGCTCTGATCGTTTCACGCTGCGCCACATGAAGGATCACTTTCTGTTTGACAAGCCTGTGTCTCCATTACTCACCTCGGCCTTCATGGCCCGAGACTGGCCTGATGCCAGGGGGATCTGGTAAGGACAACACCGCTCAGTGAAACCCGTCCCAGAGAGAGGACATATTTTTACTTTCAATTCCACGTTGACAGTACATTTTATCGGACCCTCACCCTGTCATTTTAGTGTGTAAAGTCTGCCCTTCACCTCCCCACTTTGAGAATGTAGTTTCATGTAGTCTGTCTACACGTTGACATCCTTCTACCTCTGTCTCCTCCGTCACCTGTCCCCCCACCTGTAGGACCACTTCTTGTTTGACAAGCCCGTCTCTCCACTGTTGACATGTGCCTTTATGGCCAGAGACTGGCCAGACGCCAGGGGCATCTGGTATGATTTATTCGGCATGTCCACATCTGTGTGACCATTTATTATTGTACATATTGGTGGTGGAAAAAGCAGCTAAAATAACAGAAGGAATGTTGTGTTACAAATGCATGTGTAAATTAATCCTGCACTTCATGAATATCACAGTAAGATCCCACGGCACGAAAACGGAGTGGTACCTCTTCATTGAGGTCATTTAACTGTTTCTCCACAGGCACAACAATGAGAAGACCTTCCTGATCTGGATCAATGAGGAGGACCACACCAGAGTCATCTCCATGGAGAAGGGAGGCAACATGAAGAGAGTGTTTGAGAGATTCTGCAGAGGACTCAAACAGGTACACCGGAGTCTGTGAAGTAAACACAGCAGAGATGGCAAAAGTACTCACATTCTTTACTTAAGTAGAAGTAGAGATACTTGTGTAAAAATAGACTCTGGTAGAAGTAGAAGTACTGATTCAACTCCTTTACTCAAGTAAAAGTAAAGAAGTACAGGTTCAAAAGTTTACATAAGTACAAAAGTATTGTGTTGAATAATGTTAAATGTTGGATATGTTCTAGTAATTAGCTGCTCTGACTGCAGCTGGAGGAGAATGGGCTGATGAACTTAAAGTATTTCAGGTGTTTGGATGCATCAGACTGAGTACCTACGTCTTTGTCATACCTGTCAACTTGTTTCACATGGTGTCCCACAGGTGGAGCACCTGATCCAGGAGAGAGGCTGGGAGTTCATGTGGAACAAGCATCTGGGCTACATCCTCACATGTCCTTCCAACCTGGGCACCGGCCTCAGGGCTGGTGTGCACGTACGCCTGCCAAAACTCAGCAAGGTAGCTTATACAAATTCAGTTTCTGTGAACTTGTAGATGCTGAGATGTTGATATTTTAGAGTGACTGAAAGCATTATTCTCGCAATATTTTATATTTTCATTATTGTTCCCAAATCCTGCCAAAACACCTATACCAGGAAATGTTATTAGTGCATCCAGAGCCTGATTTATATCACTCCTCTGTGCCACTGAGCTCCAGTGTTGTCCTAAAACGACTGAACGCATTAAACATCCTTCTGCTGTCACAAATTCTCACCAGAGCTTCACATGTGTATTAATATACACAGCTGAAAATAGTCCCTAACAAGTACACTATTTCCTCCTGTCTGAGTCACATATGATGAAAACTACAGCAGTCAGCTGTTGTAGGAAATGATTTCATCCTTTGTGAAACACCTGACACACACACACACACAGTCTGCTTCTTTACTTTTTATCACACCTAGGATTGTGCAAAAATGTGTAATTATTTTGCGAATAAACCAACATGTATTAACTTTATTTTCATTTCTGCTCTTCATAATGTGTTTTTTAATGTGGTGATGAAATGTTTAAATGACTGATGATCGCTCTGCAGGACTCACGCTTCCCCAAAATCCTCGACAACCTGCGGCTGCAGAAAAGAGGCACAGGAGGAGTCGACACGGCCGCCACTGGAGACACATTTGACATCTCCAACAACGACCGTCTGGGCAAATCTGAGGTTGTACTTACTGTAAAAACATTCACACACTAAAACACTCTGATACACAGCTGTCTGAGCCACCATTATGCTGCAGAAATGAGCTTCGCCGTGTGTGTTTTCAGGTGGAGCTGGTTCAGCTGTTGGTTGACGGAGTCAACTACCTGATCGAATGTGAGAAGAGGCTGGAGAAGGGCCAGGACATCAAAGTCCCAGCTCCTATTGCTCAGTTCAGGAAGTGAAAGCTGGAGTCATCGGCGTGAGCTGAGCCTGCTGGAGGAGCTCAGACTACAGAGGAGGTTGTCTCTTAATGCCTCCCAGAGAGATCGCAAATCTTTATGGTAAAATAATCGTAGACGTGATCTGCACTTAGGGGAAAACTCTACCTCAAGCTATCTGTAACCCTGACTTCATTAAATGAACAGTATGAAACAGTTTGACTCTTTGATTTTACTTTATTACTTCTCGTGTGTGTTATTCTAATGTGCAGGCAGTCTGCACAACACTATACGCCATATTTAGAAAGTTTATTTGGACATTGCATATACTTATACACAGTTGTTCTAAATATATATATATGTGTACTTATGGGAAAATGACTTGTACTCATTCAAAATTTTGATTTACAGTTAATTTTTATTTGACCAATAGGTTTCTTCTGGCTGGAAATGACATGAAGGTTTTAGAACATGGTAGAAATAACCAGAGGTATTAGAAACATGATAGAAGCTGCATTTTCTCTAAAACTGGCATCAATTTCAGAAGAAACTGTTTATTTTTTTAAAAATAGATAGCTGTATTTCATCATCGACATCTCTAACATAATGTCTTATTGTCTTTGTTCACCGTTACATTTCCAGAAGAAGCCTGTTGGTCAAATATAGATTCACTATAAATCAAAATCAGGTGTGTCTATGAATAGCTCGGTGCTTCATACTTCCCATTCACTGAATCCTGATGCCCTTTCAGCACCTACATTTGATTTTCTCTCCTCATTTACTCAGGTTTTGTCTTTAATTTGTAGTCGTTTATGCAAAGAAAACCGCATTTTGACATTTATGTTTAAAGATTGGAGTGGATGTAGAAACACAAACTGTCTGATGGCATTGTGTTTATTTAATAAGCTGTTTAACTGCTGTTTACAGAAATACTAGAACCAGTCAGTGCTTTGTTCAATTATGTGACGAGTAGATAAAAAGAAGTGGACAAAGTCTGACAGAGAAATCATTTTAAAGCCAAAGTTTGACTTCTGCAGAGCTGAATAACTTTAACAGTGGGTTCGAAGGCAAAACTAACAATAGTGCTTGAAGGACCTTGTCTGACATCCAGACATCAAACGTAATCACATCTGCGTTTCCGTTGGCGTACAATATATGCACTTTCCGAGGAGGCCAGCAGAGGTGGAAGAATTTTAATTGAATTTGTTTTTTTCTCCAAAATACAAAAACATTTCAAATGACTTGTGATGTTGATGCATTTTCATAAACTTTGCTTTTGTTTGGACTCTGCATCAGTAACAAACTTTAATTTGTATGTACTGCAACAGGTGACTTCACAGAGTACAGTGTATCTTCAGGGGAAAAGAAACCAGAGGAAAACAAAGGGAGGGGACAACAGATACAATCAACAGCATTAGATGATGTTGATTTTTTTTAAACAAAAGCTTAAAAATGTGTAAACAGGTCTGCATAAGCCAATGATTAATCTGAGAAAACATTCAACATTTATAAGTAAGCAGAACAGCACTTTTAATTATCTAATTCGACTTTCCAGGATGCCACCTCTGACAATTTTCTTATTTTTTTCTAAAAAGAAATCAGTAGAAAGAAGTCAATAAGAACCAAAAGGTGACACCTAGAGGCCGGAGCCTGCCTATTCACCAAAAAGTCCTGCTTTTTTTTGGCAAAGTGAAACAGAAACACAAGCCTCTATTAAGGAGGAGTGGCTGGAGAGTGCTAAACAATGCAGGTACATCTCTGTGAACGTCGGGGGTAAGAACAGAGAGTCAGGCTGGAACAGGAACTGAGAGGAGGCCGGCGGGCAGGTCAGTGTTGTGTCGTCAGTCCACAGGTCGCTTTTCACTGTGTTTCTTTGTGAACTCTTCCGCGTTCTTCATGAACTTGGCGCGATCTTTAGTGTATTCCTCTGCCAGGTCGGCCCTCAGCGGATGCTCTGGCTGAGGGATGTTCACCAGAGCGATCAGACACTGAATCACTGCAGGAAACAAGAGAACACATAAATTGTTGTTTTCATATAACCACTGATTTCCCCGAAGACGGGTTTCTCATTCAACAGAATGGAAATTAAAAATTAGACTCATCCAAAAATAAGAAAACACTCCAAGAACAGTAAAAGTTGAGGCCAGTTCAATTCATTAGAATAAATGCTGTCCTTGTTTTATTTCCTCTTAGTGCTCTCTGTTCTGTGGAAACACAGCATGCAGTGCACCTGAAAGAAGCATAGACTTTTGTGTTTGTTTGTTGTTGTTTTTAAACAACATCTGGTGATAACTATATATTTTTGGCCAACTTTTAAATGACACATGAAAAATATATGATTCTGATAAAACATCTGGATTTTTAAGTTTAGATTAGATTTTTCTAGCGTAACAGCACGTCACATATAGAATAGTTCAGGCACCATCAGGATGTTGAAAATCCAATAATACTTTCCTTCACTTGTGTTTTTAAAGTTGCTGGTTCTGATAAATGGTGCAATTTTGGGTACTTTTTAAAGACAGCATGCTTTTGAAACCCACTGGCGTGTTTTGGGTTTCAAAGGGTAAACAGCTATTTGGAACTGTTGATCAGATTCTTAAATAACAAAACCATTTAAAGTCTGACACAACATACATACATGCGTAGTTTCATTTTCTGTGTTGCCGTACTGTTGTATCACAAGAGGAATACTACACAACTCCACAGAGGATGTTCTCAGTGGCTTTAGAAAGGCTGCATACATAGATTAGAGCTGCTCAGCTGTGATTAAGCTTTTCAAAGTGGTGTCCTGGAAAGAGGTTCATGCAAATACATGAAATATCCAGCATAAATAATACCAGCAACAAGCAACAAAGGCCACATTTGTAAGACAAATATCTGAACTCAGCAGTGAAACATAGCCGCTCCCTCCCTGGGCTCACCTTGGCAGGTCCTCGTGGCAGGCTTCCAGTTCTCCACACTGATGATCGGCAGGCAGACTTGGCCCTTCTCGTCAATGTTGGGATGATAGATTTTCGTCTTGAAGGTGATCTTGGGCGGCTTGAAGGGGTACTCGGCGGGGAAAACGATCTCAATCCGAAAAGCTCCTTTGTCATATGGAGGACAGTCCTTGAAGAGGGTTTGTGGATTTGGGAGACAACAACAACAAAAAAAAGTTCCAGTGTTAGTCGTTGTTTCTCAGTCAAAATAATGTCCTGTGCAGCTCGCTGACAGGCCGAGCTCTGGCAGGGGATGAAGTAAACAAATAGTGCTGCAGCTACATGTCGTTAGCATACAGCGTGTTGATAGTGTGATCAAAAGGAACTCGGCAGCAGATAAAGCCACCTTTTCACCGGACCATTTACTTCCAGGAATTTTCCAAGGAATGAAAGCTTTATTTAGCTGCTACAATAATCAGAGGACCATTTTTTTCAAACAAAGTAGTTACTCGATGTAACTCCAGTTCTATGTAGGAAATAGACCCATGGAGGTTTGTTGTGTTAGCCTGTATAGTGAATGTTATATTGATATGGTGACGTTACAGAGGATAGAACTGCTGCTAGATGAGGAAATCGAGAGGACTAAAAAAGAAAAAAAAAAAGGCTGCAGGTTTGTTTCATTTCATTTTCTTCTGTTTACATGTCTGTTTATAATTTGGCCCCTCTCTTTGTTTATATTGTTATTTTAACTGACTCACAACCCAAAGATATTTAGTTTACTGTCATACACTACAAAATAATTCAGAGAATATTCAAAATTCGAAAGCTGTGATTTTTCATGCACCTGCTTCCTCTGATGAAATCGCAGCTGGAGGAGCTGGTTTAGCCTCTGGGCAAAACTCCTGTGGTGGAAACTTGACTAAGAAGAAGACGAGTGACATTTGCAGGTCCATTCACATGTTTTGTTGTGTGTTGCAGCTAAAATGTTAGCAGGGGACCGTTCCTCTTTCATGTTTGATGCTGGCTCGTTCAACAAGCTGCAGGAAATGATGTGTGTTTCTAAGTCAGACAGGAAGAGTTTAGCCAGAGAGATGATTTGGTTTGCTGTTCGAGCTCAGTGGTCAGCTCTGACTTTATTGCTTAATTCAAGATTTGATGGGCTGTGTTCTCTGCACACAGGACGGGTTTACAGAGCACGTATGTGTGCTTTGGTTTAGCAAAAATTTAAGGGCAAGTGTTTAAAAAAAAAAAAAAAAAAGAAAAGAAAAAAAGAAGTGATTTAACCTCATAACACACAATGTTCTGCTGGTGGGTTGGACTTCTCTCAGTATAGACATCAAGTAGATGTCAGGGTTTTTCATGACTTGTGTTTATACAGTAAAAGGAGTTAGTCTGTGTCACCTTATTTGACAGAAATTTTAGCATTTCCCTGTGATTTCAGGCCATTTCATAAACATAAATATCCATTATGCTTAGGTAGATAAAACCCAAATCAACCAAACTGGTTACATTTTTTATTTTTTTTATATTCAAATGCTTATCATTTTGCTGCAGGTGTTGTTTCTTTCACATGAGCTAAACTCTGTGATGGGGCACCGACAGTCCTCTACGTAGGAATCATCTTACACACGTTTCGGCCCCTTATTTTTGGTTAATTAACATTTTTTCCTATGACTTCACTAGTTTTGTTTTGTAATTCAACAAACAGAAAAGTTATACAATAACAGTAACTTGTAAAAAAAAAAAAGCCTTCATGTTTTGCAGGTTACAGCTGAAGTTCAGTACTTACAGGAACAATGAGGCCCTGCCAGGTCAAAATATTTGACTCATCCACTTGAATGTTGCGGAAATGCTTCGTCCCAGATTTGCGAATGTCATCGAGCTCCTGCAACAAAAACAGAATCGATTTGAAATGCTATTGAACCATGAGATCACAGAGCATGTACATGATGTGAATATATATATTATATATGTTATCCTGACAGCAGCAGTAGTTTCCAGGAGCTGTGTGATACTGCCCTGATGGAGCGAGTCCAGGCAGACAGTAAACAGTTGCATCACTTTCTCCACAATGAGTCAGATGTGCTCTTCTCAGCTCATTTTACTGTTCACAAAATGAATTTCTGCATCCATAGCTTTTACATGAACACAGCAGGACGACTGGGATGTTTGAGCTGCACAGTTCAACCAGTTGTTAATAATACATCAGTGTTTTCAGACCATGAGTGTGTCGTGTTCTTCTGGGTTGTATGTTATTATTAGTGCCTGACAATCCTGCACAATAACACATGGTGTAAAATGTTTGCTAACTTTAAAATTATCTTATTATTACTGCTCTGATTCTGTATAGGGCAGCAACTAACCATCATTACAGCTTCACTACAGATAATTTTCATGTTGTTCTGTCACAAGTTTACAAGACGAATGGTTTAAGCTCTGCGTCCTTAAAAGATAAAACAGTTTGTTAATCAAACTAATGGACTTTACGCTTAAAAATTTTGTAGGGCTTCAACAAAGGATTATTGTTTACTGTTTTTACTGTTTATTTTATTATCATATTTTATTTATTATATATTTTGTATTACCGTTCCCATAAGCACATCTGAATCTCGTTGTGTACGCTCCGTGTATATAATGACAATAAAGGAGTGTAATCTAATTTTCTCGTTATATTCACATACACATACATAAGCAATTTAAAGAGGAAATGTAGACATATATTACATGATACTGCAGCAGCTTACTTTCATTAGTGGTACATTACAAATGATTTCTTCATTAATAGTCTTCAGATTTCTGAGTTTGACCAAACAACCATTTAAAACCTGAAGAATTTTCAGTTTGTAAGAAAAAGTGACCCACAAAATGTTCACATGAGAAGTCTGATCTAATAAATGTTTGCTATAAAAATACAATTTGAAAAATGTCCCTGTGTGCTTAAAAAATATTTAGGACTGCAAGCAAAAAATATTTTCTTGAATAACATAACTATAAAAATTTGAAATTATAAAAAAAGAATTCTGTGTTCTTTCAAAGATCCCCAGGTGGATATTTTCAGAAAACCAGACGATGTCAACAAATAAGAGGCATAAACAAGTATTTTTTGTTTTGAAGTTGCGGTGACTTCACAATGGTTAACTTAATTGTAGAAAGAAAATTAATTAATTTTAGTCACTTACAGTATTTTTTAAAAAGTTTGCTGTAAACTGAACTTTTTGGGATTAAATCCTGATTAATCAATTATCAGTTGCAGCCCTTCCTGTGGTTGGTATTTGTTTGTGCTGTTTTACTGACAGCAGGTAGTGAATCTGTGCAACCTTTTCTATTTCTCCCTGCCTTCAGAACCTTCTCTTTCATTTACCTGAACTGTGAAACTAGACTGTTGGGGGATTTCAGGAAGCTGTGACAACATGCATCACTGTTTGAACAACAGGGTAAATTCCTGCGTTGTTACGTAAGACACAAGAAATCAAAAGCAAAAGTAAAATGGTTAACGCTGGCTGCTGTTACACTGGAGTCAAAGAGGGTTTAAAATAGTAATCACAAATTTAACATTATAGAAACACAGGCTACTCACATATATTACAACTGTGGGGGAAATGCATCTTTATTTTACATTACTTTAGAAAAATGTCTTGTAACTATGACTTCTGTAATGTGATTTTGTTTATTTGCTTGTAATGGTGTCTAAATTTTTATCTCAACTAACAAATGCTTGCAAAGAAAAAAAGCTAGTTGTTTTTCAAGTTCAGCTGAATATATTTTTTTTAAAAAGCTGAGAAAACATAACACCTGTAAAGCTTAATTACAGAGTTTCATGTGGTTTAACCTCTGGGACCAGAGCATTTGTCTATCTTTTTTTTTTTTTTGTCTTTTGGTCCACAGCACATGATAGAGAAATGTGATCATATTATAATACTTACCAAAAAGGAGAAAAAGTTGTTCTAGGTACTTTTTCATGACTTCACAACAATTCACACTGTACAATTACACAATAAATCATAGATCTTGTAAAATAAATAAATAAATAAATAAATAAATAAAATAAACATGGCGTTCGTTTGCACAACTGACAAGGACGTGCAACAGTGATGTGACAAAAATGTGAAGTTTTAAGATATCAGGTGAACTGCAGGCTGTGTTTAACAGAGACAGAGGAAAGCAAAACTTACTGGATCAATACAATAAATGCAGCATTGCTCAAAAACAGAGCAAGTTGTTGGGATATACACTCTGCACGGTGAAACATCTTTGTTGAGTGTAAAAAAAACATTGAAAGGGTTGTAAAAATGTACATCGGTAAATATCTGTTGTGTAGAGGCACCATCATTTTTCATGACTGGTAACACCTTCTTGCATTTGTAAGACATCTTGATTCCAGTTTTTTTTTTTTTTTCATTTTCATAAAAAGCAATAATCAAAGTATTACCTTTCATTTCTTCTACATTTTATAATTTAGCACATCCTAATTGTGCCATACTGCTCAGAGACATTTCTAACTTCTCTCCACTGCTAACCATGCTTATCTTGTTTCCAGGAGTTTATATTGTAGTTAAAAATGAGGCCACAGTTCGGAAAACTGTGACGCGAGCAAAAAAACACTCAGAAACTACTTGGAGATCAGGGGGTTAATATTGTTTAGGCTATATACCATAGAAAATCACCAAATACAACATATGTGGCAGCTTTTGCTTGACAAACAATTCAAACTGGGAATACATTTTCTTCAACTTATCGATAGATAATCGTTTCAGGTATTGACTATTTGTTTAAGCTCAGCTGAGGCCTGACGTCACGTCCCAGCCCCAAAGTCTCCATGTTTTCGCCTGAGCTGCCTTTAGACGGTGAAAGCGGCTCAAAGAGCTGCCTCTAACCCGGTGTGTGCTCGTCTCAGCCTACAGACATCCACACTGTGTTATCAGGCTCTGAGCCGCGGCTGACAGCCGTCTAAAAGTGCTGAATCACGGCCCGCTGCCGCCTCAAACTAACTAACGAGTTCCCTCTCAGTCACCGTCTGTCGGACGTCATTATCCTTTCATTTTGTCGGACACATGAACCACACACACCCAGACATTTTCTCTCGGTCCGCGGGGTCGTAGTTACACGAATAAAGCCGAAACAAGTAGATAAACGGCTCTCAAAGTGGTGTAAATACAATAATTTGAGATTTTTTACCTTGCCTAGTCTCCTGGTCGAAGTCATTGTGATACCGATTTAGTCTTCTTCTTCTTCTTCCTGTTTCTGTCGTTTTCTCTTCTTCTTCTCTTTCTTTCGAGTTCGGTTAAAGGGGCGGAGTCCTGCTGCATTAGCGCCACACAGCGGCCTGTAGCGGGTAGAACACGGCGAGGAGTCAGTATCTGTTTTCAACAATATCAAAGTGGGTCAGTGATAGTTGTTAGTACATTCAGTGATGTACAGTAAAATAAAGCTGTTAAGAGCCATTTAGTCGTACTTTCATTTTCGAAACTTCAACTAATATCCGCTAACAACGGGTCTCAATTCCATATGCATGTACTGAGGGCAGCAGCTGGAATGCTCTAAGAATCCTTAAGTTTTTAAGGTTTTCTTCAGTATTATGGTAATTCACTGATAATTGTCAGCACACCCAATAGTACGCGATAAAGGGAGAAGCCAACAGCTAATTCGGCGTACTTTGTTTTTTAAAAATGTGACCAGCTATGGATTAAAAACGAGTTTCATGTCACTGGGCGCACATTGGAATGCGTCAGAATTTGACCCAGAATCCTCACGTTTTTGCGATTTCTTTGGTGTCAAAGTATTTTGGTAGTAGTTGTCAGGATATGCAGTGGTGGACAGTAAAAATAAGAGAGCTAATTCGGCTTACGTTACTTTCCGAAACTAAACCAACAATAGGCTAAAAACGGCTCCCAACTCACTGTATGCCTGTACTAAGAGCCGAAACTAAAATGCTGCAGAACCTGCTTTACAGTTATCAGATTCTCAAGATTTCGTCAGTATCCGAGTTATTCACTAACAGCTGTCAGTACATCCAACAGCACACAGAGAAAATAAGCTGTTAACAGCGAATTCGGCGTTATAAGTTTTCCAAAAGACAACTAAATATAGGCTAAATATGACTCTCAACAAATGTCACTTGATTTCTTAGACACTGATACGGAAAACTGAGGGGGGGGGGTCTTTAAAAAATCTTCGGTAATTCCGAGCTTCAGTTTCTTACAAATGTTAAGATTTCTTCACTGTACACGTATAATTCAGTGATAGTCGCTCATCTACTGGTGCTCCGCAGAAAAAGCAGCGCATTATCGCCCCCTGGTGGACACAGCAGCACAGGGCGACACATGTCCAAATCAAACAATAATATGGGACCATAAAATCCTGACATTTTTTGTGATTATTTTGCATCTATCTGTCTGCATTTTTTTAAGTCATTTGCTATTTGGTTACTTTGACTCACCTTGTTGTCGTTTTATATCTTTTGGTGCACTATTTTCTTCTCATGTTGATCATTTTTTATCTTTTTGTGGTCATTTTGCATCTCAGTTTGCTTGTTTTGTATCTTTGTTTTCATTTGTGCCTCACTGTTTCTCTTTTGATGTTGTTTTGCTTCTCTTTGTGGTCGTATTGGTTTTTGTTTGGTCCTTTTGTGTGTCATGTGGCTATTTTGCACGTTTTTGTGGCGATTTTGTATCACTGGGGTCATTTGCAACTTTAAGTCGTCTTTTATGTTTCCGTGTTCATGTTTTGCCTGGCATTATATTTTTGTCTTCATTTCATGCCTGATTTTTTGCCCATGCTCTATTATTATTATTATTATTATTGGTCATTTTGCACCTCATATTGATCATTTGGTATCCATGCCATCATTAGCATTTCTTTGTAGTTTTTTAAATCTGTTTGTTGCCCTTTTAAAAATATTTTTTCTGACTATCATACAGTATTCTTTTTTTCATCTTTTTGTGGTTATTTGCATCTCATTTTGGTTGTTTTGCCTCTGTTTGGGGTCATTTTGTGTTTCACATCAATATTTGGGACATATTTTCTTTGCCACTATACCATCCATGAGTCCAATACACATTTAGAAAAAAAATCATCTGTTTAATTGTTTTAAAAAATATATAGAATCTGATTTGTTGTTAACTGTTGCAAATAACTAGCATTAATTAGCAATTAACAGTTGCAAAATGGCCATTTAGATTTTTTAATATACTCCACAACTGTAAATTCATGTCTGTTATTTTTTTATTGTATACTATTCTAACATTATAATGCAAAAATGAACATAGCTGTTTGAAAGAAGTCCATGAGCCCCACTGTGTGCCGTCAGAGCGGCTGTGTGACAGCAGCCTGTGAGCAGGTAAAGTCATTCTGCTTCCAGCTCCGAGGCTGAGCAGATCCTGTGACCTCCCGACAGTCTGTTCAAGATGGCCGCCTGAGTGGAGCAGTTCCTCCTCTCCAGTAAAACTAATCCAGCGGCGAGCTGCCCGAACTGCTTCAGCTGTCTGCTCTGAGGATGACACGACGACACCGGCTGCTCCTGATTTAAGTCTTAAGAAGAGCAGAACTGCTTAAGTCATGGAATAAAAACAGCGCTGGTAAGGAACCTGAAACAAACCAGGTTAACAGCCCACAGCTAGCGCTCTATATTAGCCAGCTAACGCGTCCAATAACAACTAACAGGCTAACTTTAGATTCACCTGCTTTTATAACTCCAGCTGACAAATTGCAGGCTGTTTATCGATGGAAGCACTTAGCAACCAACACCTGTATAATTAGCAACGAGTGTAACTGTCAACACTGTTTGTTTAGTTGAAATGTTGCTAATGTTTTCTGCTAACGGTTTCATACAGGCTGATTAGCTTGTTTGCTAATTTCGCACAGAGAAGTTCGCCTTCACAGTGACACTGAAGCATGTGTGTAAAAACTGATTTTCTGTGATATGTAGACGCGCTTTTAATGATGCGAAGCTGTATAAAAGGTTAATTGATATCGTTGAGGTTGCCATCGTTGTTTCTGTGACCCGTCAGATTGTGTGACTTCAGCTGTAAACATATAAACTCAGTGTCTTTGTCCAGTTTAACACGCTGTCCTCACACTATTTAGACAGAGCCACACATTTTGAGCAGCAGAACTGTCTGACAGTGACACAAAAATATAACCAACCAGCATTTTCACAGCTTGCCCTCCTTAAACAAACGGTAGCTGTCACCAAGCTAGAGTAGTTTATCAAAGTTTTAGAGATACGTCGTGGAATTTTAAGTGTCAGAGAAAAGTCAGGCGAGTCTTATCAACAGCTCCAAGCCTATGGGTTGTATGATTAACCGAAAGGCCTGTATTTAGTAATACTGACTTCCTTCTTCCATGAATCCTCCATAATAACTAGTTATAGAGTGACACAGCAGCAGAGAGGAGGCAGGACAAAGCTCACTGTGGAATGAGACATCACTGTGATTTTAGACTTTGTTGTACGAGCTGTTTTAAATACACTATTTGCAGAAACAGTCAGACATATCAGCAGATTATAACCTCAGAATCTTTAAAAAATAATCTGATGTAGATGATTTTTGACCCAAGAGGTGGACTTCAAAGCAAGTTAGACATAGCCAGGCTCTCTTTGCTGGCTTAACATAGCCTACAACCCCAATCAGAGATAATGACTAACATGATTCTAACCTTTCTATGTTCATCAGGCTTTCTTGATCAGACACATAGCACACTCTCATAGTCAGGAGCTTTTGACGTGTAATTTGACTCTTCTTCTGCACAGAATGGAGCAACAGCACGTTGTCAACAGAGGAACAAGTTATTGTAATGGCGAGCTGTGAAGAACATAAATTAATATGGCAAACACCAATACTGTTACTGAAACTGTTGCAGGAGAGTAATGTTGGTAGGAAAGTGTTTATTTTGCCACTCTTAATGCAATCACTTATTTCCTACATGACAGCTGCGCTTTAGAGCTGTTAAACTTTACATTTCATACATTCAACACCCCTGCCTTTTGCAATGTCAGCTGAGACAGTCCTTCTCAGCCTTTGATATGATAAAGCAGTGTATAGAAAATAGATGGATGGATGGATGGATGGGTGGACATTTAAACATGATGCTCAACAAGTACATCGAGGTCCAACTTTTCCACATAATAAAAGAGACGTGGAAATAACTTCGTACCCAAGTGAAAGTGAAGTTAATGTAATTGATTGAATTTTCTCTGTGCTAAATGCCAATCGACAGATCCATTTTATAATCTGTGACGACACATCTGTTTGCTGCAACACCCAAAACAGACTTGGCAGCAAATCAGGACCCACATAGTTATTCATTTTCCTCATCACCAACTTAATGCACGTCGGTTCCCGTGGAATCGCAACACATACAGTTTGCCTGCTGTATCTGCACAGCTTTGGTGTTCGTAACATGCAGCTCAACAGGTTTGCAGATGAAACATGTTCTTTCAGCTGAGAATCTGTAGCACTCAGAGAGAATATTTTCAGGAAAAGAATCGGTGAAAGTTATTGTAGGTGATTTAAATCCCAAATTCTGAACAGAACGTCCTCCGGAGCAGGTTGCCTGTGCAGCACCAGTTACAGCTGTGACAGAGCAGGTTAAATGAGAGCCACCTACCTGTGTGACACTCAAAGCTCTGGATTTAGGCTCAACATATCTCATGAATCTTGCATCGTAGTGCAGCCCTCTGTTTTTTAATTGCAGCAGTATCATCAAGAACCTTATCTTTGACTGACATCTGCTGTATAACTAAAGGTTCTTGTGAAGATAGCTGCTTGTCACTTTGGAACAAGGCTTTTTTTAAAATGGCAATTCAGACTCTTGTTATCAAGCAGCATATTTTTAGAAATATTTTGATGTTTTCCTTCCACTCTGTTTTCAGTGAGAGATATTTTTAGCCACATTGAAGATGTGCTTTCTTAGAATTTGACCCATTTTCATTCCCTGTAATTTTTACCCATTCCTGATATTAAACCTCCACGTGTTCAGGCAGTGTTTCAGATTAAACTTTTTACTTTAGCAGTGATTAGGTGATTAAAAGCTTGACTTGCATGCGGGTTTCGTTTAGCCTGTGGCTTTTATTGATTGTGAGATTGAAGCTGAACTTTGTGGGAATTACAGTACTATCAGTCCGCACTTCTGTACAACTGTGGATTACTTGTGCTGGTTTCCTCTTTGTGCGGTTACACAGGAATTGAGTTGAGGACATTCATGAACGTTTCAAGGTTTTACTGTTTAATTTTTTGGTTCACACTTCCCCATATCTTTACTTGTGACGCCTGTGCAACTAAGAAAGTCTCATGACACTGGCCTCAGGTGGATGTGGGCAAACCTCAAAGGAAAACTTTTCAACAGAAATAGTAAACTGATGATAAAAGGAAATCACATGATTCAGCTCGGTATGCCTGCTGGGAAACTGGTTTGTGTGGGGGTAGTGGTGAAGAGTTGTTGTTTTTGATGCAAGTTGTGTACGCTGTTGCCTTTTCAAAATTCAGGTCCAAATCTGTCTTATTTATAGGCATGTCGTAGATGTTTTATGGTTGTATTTGAATGCATCTTTAATATTTCCAACAGTAAGTGAGGAGTAACTGAGCGACAGCAGCCAGTGTT